CGCTCTTCAGGCGCCGGGAAAACCGCCTCCGTACCGCAGCGAGGGCTGAAACCCGGCCGTGCTTCCAGGACCTTCCTTATGTCACCCCAGATTCGCACCTGCCCTGGTTCCCCGTGCGGAACGCACCACGCTGCTCTCGTTCCTCCTGCCCTGCGCCCGAGACCCCCGGAGCGGGTGACCTCCTGTCTCCATCGCCACCTCTGCTTGCCTTCCATCGCCAGCTTGGCTGCCGTCTGTCGCCGCTCAGCTCGACGGGGCTTCCTCGGCCTCAAAATCTAAAGAGAAACCCTCTCCTCTGCTTTACCAGCCCTTCCCCGGGCACACGAGCAGCCCAGTGGCCCGAGCTGAGGGGCGAGGGGGAAGGTCTCTGCGTGTGGCAGGAGCTGCTGGGTGGGCAGGGGCTGTCTGCTGTACGTCCCTTGTGCAGGGGGACATCCCTTGTGCAGTGAGCCCAGGGCTGCCCTGCAGCAGCAAAGGGAGCTCCTGCTGCCAGGGGAGCAGCCCCATGGAGGGTTTGGGGGGTCCAGAGCGGGGGGGGTTTGTCCTGTAGGGCCTTTCCTTGGGGGATCAAGGGGCAGCGCAAGGGGCTCTGCAGTGGGCTGGTTGGGCACTGAGGACTCGGTAACCCAGAAGCTGAGGAACAAGGGCTGGCACTCAGCTGATGGTCCAGGGTTTTGGGTGGTGATGGTGAAGATGAGCATTAGCAGCACCAGGGCATGCCAGCGGGAGGGGGGTCGGCAGCTGCTCTGCGCATCTGATGGGCCTCAGTGGAGAAGCGTTGATGTGGATGGGCGCTTGTGCTTCCCAACCTTGCTGAGTTTTGCTGCAGAGCAGATTTATGTTTCGTTAACAGGTTGTCTACTTAGTGCCAGCTGCCCTGACGCTGCTTGTGGGCATTAACCCTTCGGTAACAGGTATGATACTGGTTTGCAAAACAGCGTCTCTGCTCAAATTTTGCCCCTAAAAGGTTTGGTTTTATTGAGTCACAAATTAAGATCAGGCCACGTGGAAACATGCCATATGACTTCTTGGGGGCAAAAAGCTATGGGACCTACAAAATCTGGTCATTGGTGTAGTGCTTGTGGTTGGACGTGCTGCAGGTGGACGGAGGAGCCCTGCCCTGGGTTGGTCTTACCTTTGCACCCCGATTCCAGCACTCGAAGCCTGAGTGGAGCACAAACCTGGAAGCACGCTCTGAACCTGGCTCTGGTGTTGACGTTAGCATGTTAATTCACTTTGTTTCCTTGTTGTAAATCTTTGATTTTACTTATCTACCTCATAGAAGAGCAGTTGAGCTCTGCACGGTCCTTTGAAAGAGCTAAAGGTCTTGTTCTGCACTGCAGCTACCCCACCAAGCGCATGGGCAGCCATGGGGATGTTGAGGCTTCAGTGCAGCGGCTGAGTTTCTGAGCGCATGCGCTAAGAGGGCTGATGCCACACGTTGAGAGAATCAGTCCGATCAGATTTGGTCCAGGACTCCAGAAAATAGTTCATTTTTTGTATTTTCATCCAGCAGAAATAATTTTTAAATAATGGCATTTTACATACAGAAAGTGACTGTATCTTGTCTGGATGAATACTTACTCTGAATAAGCTAAAACCACGCTCATGCCAAAAAAGAAAATCTTCAGGAGTGCATGCTGCCGTCACAAGTCACACTGTTGCAGTCTCTCAGCATTCCGTCTACCTGAAGCATATGAAGTGGCAGCATTCACAAAACTATAACCCATGAGGGTTGGTTGCCTGTGGTTTTGAACATTTCAGGGGAGGTTTATTTGTGTGATAGGTGTAGCTTCAACATACTGGCATTTGGCTGGTTGGGAGAATCTACATGTTAAACTCACAAGTAGGTTTTTGTTACTTGTGCCATGATCTGTGGAAAATAAAATAACACAACTATTGTATAACTGGACATTTATGTAAATTCACCACGGGATATTTGCCATTCAAGTCTGTGGAAGACCCAGATTCTGCCTCGGCTGAGCTCCAGTAAGTTCAGCCAAATGGGGAATCGATTATGATGACAGGTCACGCTGAGCTCTTGGAATTTTGGCAGCCCATCGTCTTTAATGCTTGCCTGGAGGGGTCAGTGCCCAGAAAAGGCTGCTTTTAACTTAATGTTTTTTGCTGTTGACGTTGCTGAGATCAGCGAGAACTGCCCATGTCATTTGCTCACCTCTTCACCACGAGCCCCTGGGAATGGACATGAAAACCCACAAGAATCTGTGGGCCTGTTCAGTTATTTCACATCATCTGCATTTCTCTGTTTAAAAACATCAGTCTCCAGGCAGAGATGTCATCAGAGTTGCTCATCATCACAGGCAAAACTCAGGCAGAGGCTTGTCAGGGAGTGTGAGGGAAGATTCTCCTGCAGTGCGGTGGCCGCTCGGTACCCATGACGGCTGGCTGCGAGCTGGGGCTCGCTCCCGTGGACCCTGGTGATCCTCTGGGCTCAGGCTGAGCCTCTGGTTGTGGCTGTGAGCTGTGGAAAGGCCGTTCCTCCTGTTTAAGAGAACCTTCATTTGTAATCCACCTTGTGATTTTTTTTTTTTTGCACATGTTGAATGCTGGAGCCTGTTTTGTTTGCTGGAGAGATGAGGAAACCCTTTTCTTTGAGGTGCTGCTGCCAGGAAGTTGCATTCCTAGGAAAGCAAGCCCCAAGCCCACTAGTGTTTTATTTTTAACAGCACTTTTCAGCAGCGTTCCCTGGTCAAAAAGATACTGGTATTAATTCCGTCTTCCTGCCTAGGATGTGTGTGTTTGCTGGAGGCGTCTTTTTTAGTGATTCAGTTGCTTTTCGATTTATAGGGTGTACTTCAAGCTACATTGCAGTTGCTGGCAGTCTGTTTTATTTCCTCAGATAATGGTGTTTGGAGGAGCCTCTGTGACCTTCATTCTGCTGGTTGTATTGTTGGGACCACTGTCTTGGCTTCCTCTTTGTTTGCCTACGCTCAGGGAAACATTTTGCACGAAGAGGAAGGCAGGTAAGGAGTTATTTCTATTTTCCCCTGCACAAATTCAGCACACCAGGCCATCTGCTTCTGGTGGTCACCTTGCTAAACTTTTATTTGCTGCAGTGAGTACTGTTGATCCAGGGGAATCAGAGCAAGGAGGAGGCACTGTAGAGCTCCAAACCAGCGATTTGTTGGACAAAAGAGCTAAAGGGAGAGTGAACAGTCGTGATTGCCCGATTTCATTGGGGGCAGTTCTGGCTTTCGAAGACCAGGGCACAAGCACAGCAAAACAGCTTTGTGTTCTCTGCTGAAGCTGTAGGAATTAATGTTTAAAACCTTTTGAGGCGATACCATATCCATGTTCATCTGTCACGGGCAGCTGAGTCCTCACAACTGCCAGGGATTGAGGGGGAGGGAGGATTTCTCACCTGGGCGTTCGGCTGTTCCCTGAAGTGGGTGCTTGCTCGGTGTTGAGGGGGAGTGCTGGCAGCTACTGCAGCTGTTCACGGTCTGGAATACTGGGATGCTGCTTTGCTCTGTCTCAATGAGGGAAATGTGCTGTGGAATAGAAGTTTAGCAGTGGAACAAAAAGTAGAAGCAGAATTTGTGCAGCTGCATAGCTGGGTCGTGTTTGTAGATTTGTGGTGGGAGGCCAAGTTCCTCCATGTAAACACCTTTATAATTATAATCCTAGTAAAATAGATTGAACGTCCCCAAAAGGAAGCAGTGCATACTTACACTACTGTTCTGGAGGCAAAATTTGTATTTTTTAAAAGTAAACATCTCCTTGTATTATTTTCTGATCTGTTTTTTGTTTGGCTTTTTAGAGAGTTGTTTGGTCTCGTGATTATTACAATATGGATGAGTCTTTGTCGCAGTTCAGCAAAGTAAGTTTTGTTTCATTTTTTTCTGTTAATTCATTCATATGTTCACATTTAGGGACCAGCTTCTTGAAAACACAGTTGATTTTGGCTGCTTGTTTTGTTGCTTCATGTCACTGTCCGAATCTTCTCAGATACTTAAGCAGCAGCAGCTGATGATACAGCCTGTAGGATCCTGCACAGATAAAAGTCTGTGTGGGGAAAGTAAAGCTACACAAAACATTCTTCCTGCTCCCCCTGCCATAATGGGAAGGGGACGTGCTCGCTTTGCGTAAGGACAGCGTGCTCCTTTCTGTGGAACAGGCTAGGGAAGGTTGGCTGCAGCTGCTAATGAACTGCAAAGGCATTTCTGCCATTGCTCCCAATTTACAGAACTTTCCAGTGAAGGTCTCTGAAGTGGTGTCCACTGTGTCTGCTGGAGCGGGTGCTGCAGGCAGAGCTAACAGAAGGCTCTGGGCGGCTGCCTGGCTGCAGTGGTTCCACACTCTTCCCCTGCAGCCTCTTTAGAAGGTGTGCTACAGCGGTTTTGCTAAATTCCTGTTAGCTGGAAGCATGAAAAATCCCAGTCTGCCAACAAGTACCTTTGTGCTGGGAAAACATGTCACATATGCTCTGGGCAATCGGGGTCCTTTTTTTTTTTTTCACCTGGTTTATGCAGCCTGAGGTGGCAGAAAACCTTTTTCTGCTGGTACGTGGTGCCTCTCCTGTAAAGGACTCTGCTGATACATCCACAGGAGCCACATGAAAGCGGCTAAAGGCTCTCTGCTGTGTTTAGCCAATACAGTTTGCTAACTCCAGCTGCAGCCAGGTGTGAGTGTTCCCTAGCAGTCTGATTTGAGTACCTCTGTTGAATTTTCTTCTTTATAGGAGTCCACTGGGTGGAGTTCGCTTGATTGCTGCAGTTGTGGTTGCCCTCTTCCCCTTTGTTTCATGGCTGTACATTTTTGTGAACAAAGAGATGCGAGCATCTTGGCCAAAGCATTGTAAAACGGTGATTTAATGGGGTGGGAGAAAGTACAGAATAAATATTCTGACCTTACTTGCCTTTGCTTTTGGTTCATAATGAAAGGTTAGTATCAGTTTGGGAAGACCCAAGAATGCCTGGCTGCTTCCAGCAGTGCGGTGTGAGATTTGTTAAAAAAATTGAGGAACACTGTGAAATCTGAGTGGAGAATTTTTCTATGGAAACTGTTGTTCAGCTGGCTTCCTCATGCATTTTCAAAGCACTGTTGATCTATTGTGTGTTCTAATGGTATATTGAAGATAACCTGGCATCCCTGGATCTCTTTCCAACCACCTGGTACTTCGGGATATCTACTGTTCTGTAACATAAGGGAAAAACAAAGCAAACGCTTTGATTCAATAAATTACTATTTACAGCCATAAAAATTCCAGATATCCACCTGGCTAGTCCATTGAGACTAACTGAGAAATTGAGCGGTCTGTATTTCTGTTCCTATGCTAAAATCATATGTAGAATGTATCTGAAGAAATATTTTTGCTATTATCTTCAACTGAAAATTACTGGTTTTACAGAGTAATAAATACTGTTTTTCTAAAGAAAATTCAATGAAAGCTTGTGCATCTTTATTTTCTCTGAGATGTGTACTCAAGACTGCCACCAGCAGACGTGGTCACTGTCACAACTCTGCTTGTCACAGAATTTCTGTTCCTGGAAAGCAGAACCCACACAGCAGCCCAGGGACAGGACACATGTTGCACTGCTACTGATCCTGGAGAAGGAAGCACAGGTGAATACACTGGACACGCAAGCTGGCTGGGAGAGACCCAGAACAGGTCCAGATGCAGCACAGCAACATCCTTTAGGTCCTTCCATGTCACGGCTTCTTTGCTCAGTACTGCTGCAGGCTCATACAGCTGTGCACGTGTAGATCCCAGTGGGTGTATCTGCAGGATTACATGATGTAGCATGGATGGTCTCCATTTTCCATTTTGTCACCACTGGAGTGACAGTTGGACTTGATGATCTTAAAGGTCTTTTCCAACCTATGATTCTGTGATTCCTTGGGCTTCGCTTTTTCTGAAAATTACTTTAGACTTCAAAGCAATGTCAAGAAGACTGCACTAGGCTACAGGGTGGACTAATTCTGCCAGACATGAGACATTACCAACTATGATGTTCAAAAAAATTGAAATGCAGCTGGGCAGGTACAATTCTGCATGCTTTAATTCTGACTGATATAAAAAAAAAGTGGTTTTTTTGACAATTTTCATAATAAGGTTTGCATTTTTTTCACAGTAAGTAACAATCCTCTCAGGATTGAGTGTTTCAAGTCAACATTCTGCATTCAAGTATATTTATTTCAAACATGTTTACTGGCCTCCTCTGTTCTCCATGAAGAATCTAGGTCTTTTTTCTTACAGAAACTGAATTTCTAAAATTCTGTATCCAAGAGAAAAATGTTTGACTTAAAGCTGTAAGGATCAGCCATGCACATCTTTCTACAAGCAAATAATAAGCTGAACGCCCTGCTTTTTTGTCTGAGTACCTCCTGAAGAAGAGCAATTTGTATTTTCAGAAATGCATAACTCTGTCTGAAATTCTTCCCCTTCCCTTTAGTATCATTTTATCTTCATAGACATAAACAGTTCCAAAGGCATTGCTTTCCGGTGGCGTTTCAATAACCCCCTCCAAAGTTAGATGATGAACTCCGTGAGAGTCTAAACAATAGCCACCGTCGTGCAAGTGCCCTGCAAGAAAGCAGACCACACAATGATGGGAGTGTATGACCGAAAGGGCGTCTTCGTAATTCCAGGCTAGGCAAACTCTGTCAGAAGCATCTGGATGAATGGGCAGATGACCTGCAGTTGAGAGGGAAAGAAACAGCAGAGTTACTTTAAGCGTAACAAAACCGTCTTCATTGCTGGCAAGTTCAGACACCTAGCTGAATACAGAAAGCTCACCCAAGTGTGAGACATGGTTGCTATTCCCTTACTTCCCAGGTTACACATGTACCTCAGTGGAGCTCCAAAGTTGCTACATGTTTTCCTCAGCTAACATACATTGGCTATGTAACTTTTTTTGCATATATCGCCATATGTCCCCCATATCCACCTACCCATAACTACAACTTTTTCTTGGTTTTCATCAGAAAACTTGAGGACTTCATTGAACCAGTCCAGCTGGGCTTGGCTAAATCCTCCGTTAAACTCTACAAACCGAGGTTCTTTGAGTCCTGCAATGAAGAAGAAGGTTAGGCATAGGCGTATACACCTCTTGTGACTCTCCTATTTGATTGCCCTATGTATGTCTGCTTATTATAGATGGATTACTCTTAGAAATGTATTTTTTTGCAACTCCTGCATCAAAACTCCAGTCTTCTTGGACAAACAAGAGAAAATTATTCGTTAGTGTTTTCGTTAGGGTTTTGGTCATGCTGCATGCACAGGATTTCCACTCTTGGGTCCCCTCAGCATGGGACAGGGTGGGCATCATTTGATGCTCTGCAACAGCAGCTGCACCAACAGCTGCCTTTTGTTCTGACACCGCAGGGCACACAGCACAACATAAACCCATCCCAAGAACACCAGAGCAGCATGATGGGTATGGGGTAGCATCTCCTGTGCCCGCCTAGAGACCCACTGTCTGTCTCTCGGCCGACAGCAGAGAGATGGAGGAGGTGGGGAGAAACGGGGCACGTGCCTCAGCCCCCTGGGAACCACATGTCAGCCCCAGGAGCTGCCGTCTCACTCCGGGAAGCGGAGGCTCAGCCGCTCGTGCTCCCTGCTGAAGGGTCGAGCCGGGAGGTACCTGCGGGGCTGTTGAGGTTGTCATTGGGGTTCTTCTCCTGCAGCAGCCGCAGGGACTCCCGGTAACGGGGGCTGTCCGGCTCCCCGCCCA